TTTAAATAATTTTATGAAGTTTAAATGTTGTGTGTGAGAATGTGATGCCTGGTATTTTAATTACCATTGCTGAGCATTTCGTCGGCAACTTAAAAATGATACTTGCGGATTTATGCACTTGCTAGTATTAAAATGCATTTATTAAAAATTCAGACAAAACAATTGTCTTTTCCTTTGTCTTTGGTCTCTTATTGAAAAAAAAATATATTCTGCAAACTATACGAGCCTCACAGACCATGCCGGATAGTATTCACATATCTGGTTGAGGTTATTGATGGTGCTGGAATAATTTAAGCGGAGTGTCTGACCTAAAATTTTGGATTTTGGCTTTTCCGGTTTTTAGTCTCATCTTAAAGCTGACATTCTGACCAATCCAACGGTACCAAAACCATCTCTATACGTTGATTTATGCGTTCACGACAAATCGCGAAAGGGCTAGGGGTGGTGGAGTTCTTCAACATTTAACATACGGAATAATTGACGCAGTGCACTTTAAATAGCTAGTCTTCACACTCTCCGCTCCAGTAACCCTTCAGCAGTCATGTGGGTTGTTTCTCGCGCCGTCGTTCCCACCATCCTTGACAGAAATTTAGCATTAGTATCGTCTAGTCTTGCCTCTTTGCAACCTTGAATGCTAATTTCGAGGCGCCCTGCACTTTGTCGAGCTCTACTGAACATTCACACTTATTGTCACTGGAAAACTATCTTCTCCTACAGTTTTGAAGCTACAGCAATGAGAGATATACCATTCGATTCGCAATTGAAATATCTAGAGATTGTTGTTTAAGCATTTTTCCCAATTTCGTTATAGTTTCGAAAATATTTAAAAAGGGGGGGGGGAAAGAGAGGGAAATCGGAAAATTTTCGAAAATTTTACGAAAAATTTCACACAAAAAACTTCCCTCATCCACAGAAAATCGAATTTCGAAAAAAGCTTAGACGAATCGATAGATATGGTCCTTATGCAACGAATGATATGCGTCTCGATGTTGTAGCTAGAAAATCCTAGGAGGAGATAGTTTTCTACAGTACCCCCTTTTTTGGCCGTTTTCTAAAAATTTCACGTTTTCTTTCATTTTTTTCGAAAAATGGACATGAATAAAAGCTGTCTATTTTTCGGCATTACATATGTGGACCAAGTTTCAAAGTGATCCGTCTATAAAGAACCGAGATAAAATTTTTGCCAGATGCTCCCCTTAAAACTAATTTTTTTTTCAGGATTTACAAGCAAGGCAAACGCGGAAGTTAATATGAATAGGAAATTGTTTTCTCAATGTGGTCATTATGAACAGAAGAATATGTTCTCAATACTTGTTATTTGTAAAGAAACTGTCCTGGATAGAATTTCAAAAGCCACTTATAGCCAGGCAGGGACATCGCTTCGAGTCGTGCAAAGAAATCGCTTCGAGACCAGTTTTCCTTTCTTTAATAAACTACAGGATAGAAATTCCGCACATGAATAGAAATGAACCCACAGAAGATGAATTTAATCACAAAATAGTCGATTCTGGTAATGATAAATTAAGAATATAGCCAAAAATTCCAAGTAACAACTCGTGGCGGAAAACGAACGCCAAATTACGTGAATGATGGGTGCCATAGTCTTCGAGAACTGGCCGGTGAGAATCTAGCTCTCAATTAACTCTAATAAATGACAATAGAATTTTATTACAACAGCGAGAAAATATTTAACTAAGTCAACTATGATAAATGCAGCAGACAAATGAAAAACCTCAAGTCTAAAACTAAGCTGGAGAGTAAGGGCAGAATAAGCTATGATCATGCAGAAGATATCGCTACTCCTAATCAGGTTCCATCCGAAACTAAAAGTATCGTACGAAAATTTCACGCCCTACCCGCACTGGAAGTGACAGAAACATTTGCTTTGTATATATGTGGTTTCATATAGACAAAAGTTGGCTGCGTTTCATGTGAAGAGAGAAATATGTTCTCAATGTGGTTAACATGGAGAGAAAAATGTTCGCTTATTGTTGTATACATAAAAAAAATCCTTACATAATAATGAATAATTTTGATCGTGTTCATCACATAAGTATTTTCGGTACTCAGCGGATGGTGGAGCAAAATTCAACGTTCCATTAGGAATGTCATTTCAACTCAGCTCTCAGGAATTTGAGGTAAGAAACTTCTTCACGCAGCTAAGCTGAGGAAGGCTGCGTTGTCTGCAGTGCCAACTTGAGTGTGTTATCCAGGGGCGAAGTAAAAGTTGTTAATAAGAATTAGTCATATGAATAAATAAATATCAGTGTACATTTACTTGTAATCATTCAAGTAATTTTGAGTAATGGAAGTCTTACAGAGGTGTTCTTTGGTACCTATTGATATAACAGAACTTGAAGATATATATTACAAATACGGTCTAACTGCACCCGGGTCCGATCCTATGATATATAGAGATACGAATTGCACAAGTGCAATATCAATATAATACATTAAAATTACACTTGTACAGTGGGGTGTGTACATAGCATCTGACACATTCCAATCTCACGATGTCAGCACAAATTCCCAAGTTTTAAGTATATGCATTCAACTTCAACATTATTCAAATCTAAGTAAAATATTTAGGCAGAAAGAAAGCATGACGTATGAACATATTTCAGTTTATGGCTTTTCTATAGCAATTGTTTATTCTTCCTAGTTCTGAGGAACAATGTAAACAAAGCTCGCCATCAGCTCAACCGTCGGTTCTCAAAAATCACTATTTCTAAGAATATTTATGGCGGACCCTGATAACCCGGAAAAAATGGCATCATCAAGTTTTTAATTCAGGTTTTCTACATCGAGGCTGACCGCGCACAATCCAAGGTACACAAAAACACTTTGACTCTGATGAAGTAGTTTATGGCCGAAAGCTTGTCTTCTAAATCCTTGCCTTTCTCGATCAAATGACACGGATAAGAAAATGACTTTTCTTGATAGGTATATTTAGACAAATAGACAATCGTACAGCAAAAAATTCGTGGTCACTATAGAAATACTCATGCAAATACTCCAGATACCGCAGTTACTATTCACACCAGCAACAGTCAAACTATTTGCATTGGCAAAGTGCAAAAAAAATAATAATTAATCCGCTCAAGCAGAAATGAACCTTTTTAATTGAGTTAATCAAACATAATAGGAAAAAACTGATCATTTAAAAACTTAAAACATTTGAATGAAAATGACTGATATAAATCAAATAAAGTGGCCTGTTTGTGAGAAATAAATGAAGAAGTTAAATTAGTAAAACATAGTTGAACCGTTGAAACTTCTGGAATGAAGGAAGGTAATTAGCCGTCGCTATTAACCGTATTGGCAGGTTGCCTTCACCTCTGAGCTCTGCACTCAATTTACTGCGAACAAAGAAAGTGTTAACGTCACAGGCTTCAGACTGCAGGTAAGATGGCGACTTGAAGGTTCACGTTAAATAAAGACAATTAAATGATTAAAAAATATTATAATATTATATAAAGATTATCAGTCCATGGTATTTAATACAATGGTATTAAACGCGCAATCAATCAGCTACATAGTAAAATAGATATTTTATTTGTGTATCGTACAATGTACAGCCTTTCCACTGTCCGTGTTTCAAAATGAGTCCCTGTTACGCAAGCAAAACTGGACAGGCCATCCACCAGCCTTTTTTAAAATGATGGAATCCTCGATCGTAGGAGTTCCCTTACAATGCTCCCTTACATCATCACAAGGACAAACTTACCTTTTGGTAAGTGAGAGTTAGAGAATCAACAATAAAATCTATCAAGATTTTCAAGCTCGTTATTTTCGTGAGGCGAAAAGCGGCAGTGAAATAAAAACTATGAATTCTTTATTACTAAAGCTGATATAACGGATCAAGTTCAACAATTGGACAGCTAACAATGGCCTTCAAATTTCAAAGAAAAACATTCAAAAAATCTTCGGAAATAATCTCAGGAGTTCTAAAAACACTACAAAAAATGAAATAATAGTAAAAGATGAAGCAATCGTAGTCAACGTGTTAAGTAAAGTATCGAAGTAAAAAAGCATTTGCAATAATAGTCGTTTATAGTACCTGCTTGTTGGCGATGGTAGTGTTAGGGAAATACAGAAATTAATATAATTTTGTAGTTTTTGTTTTCACTTTACATATGCGGACGTTAGATTTGTAGGTTCCTGTCCGATTTAGCTCCTTTAAAAAAATGTCGTTGAACCTACAGGATCAAGGAGCTTTTGACTCGATATCAGGTTTTCTACCGTGTTTTTTAATTATTGAGCTATTTATTATTATTTTTTTTGTATTATTAGAATAGTTCATTCGAGAGAATCGTTTGTTCAAACTCTGACTAGTGTTCGTTTACTTGTTGTTTTAGGTTATTTATTCTTTGTTTTATTTTTGGGAGAGTGTGAATTCGTGGAAGTTTTGACACAATAGTGCTGAGAAAACAGAATAGTCTTTTATTACGAGCCTTGTTGGGGTCCACGTGTACCAGAAGTACGGCTCGACAATCCTGGTTGACCCTACATGCAGTTCATTTACTGTAAGCATCAATGGTTTTAATCAAACGAACGGCAGCCGCAGGAAGGTTTTTTAACTCATTCTAATTAATTTTGTTTCAGATCGTAATTGGAACTTTTTCGGCTTTCTACGGAACCAAGATAATGTCACCTCAATGGATCCGACTTCTGGCAGCCCAGCTGCTAGAACGATGACGGTGAGTTGACTAGTAGCCCCATGCAGCGGCGCTGGCGTCTGAGGTTTCAATTCAATGCTGAGGCTCAATATATTTTGAACAGCGATAAAAACTTTAATAGAGCTCATCAAAACCAGTTTCACACTCTGCATCACTTAATATGCATCATGGAATGTTTATACTCTAACCGCTTGGAATGTTAATTGGCCATTTAACACAATGAAATGAAGCAGGTTTACTCTGCGTGGACATTAAACCCAATAAAGAAATGTAATCAAGCGTGGCATTCAACCACATCAGACAGGGTAACACTGCGACCACCATCTTTCCATCATAACCTTCATCTCACATTCGCAGGTCAACAACACAGCGACCTTGAACTGTTCTTTGGGAGATTCCAGTCATTTGATCTGCTTTACGATGTACTGCGAGAAAACCACGCAGTCGAAGCCCGGGGGACGCGAAAATTTTAGGGCCGTTGCCTCGAGCCTTTATTACGACAATGCGTCGCTCAATTCCACTTGGTATACGGAAGGCAGTGCTTGGGGTAAGTGTCCTTACTACATATTACACGTGTTTCTGGTGAAATTTCCAGGAACTGCAGCTTACCTTGTTGCCTGTTGCCTGAGCAACAGGGTGGGTAAGAGTATTCATGTCAGCGGCACTGCGCTCCCTATTGAAAACCTTATAGTCTTATTATTTTGACGAGCAGATGAAACTGCATCAGGAATTAGAATTTTTTGTAATTGATAATATTCGACGAGGGGGAATCGTCAAGAAAAAGTGGCATTTAAAAACTGTGAAATAATTGAACAGACTGCTATAAGGTACGGCGCAAGGCATAAAGTACTCGTTCGAGTCTCTCCCCTTTCAATGTTGCCGATTATATCAGATTTAGCTTTCAATTATTCTTCCGGAGTAGCAGATCAGCTGCAGCAACGTGCCTTCATTGAAATAATATTGCAGGATTGTGTATTGATTTCATTTGCATGGTCGCTAGACCAGTGTTTGGTTTGGTATTCGTTTAGGGTGTCGCTCTCGGTGCGTCTTGTTCGTCCTTTTCGGTGCGTCTTTATGGTGAGATGAGAGTAGGATTATAGGGTCGCCGCACCTGAGCGCGATAGCTTGCAACTGCTGCCCAGGCGCAGCGTGGTCTCGTGTCGCTGGTGTGGACATGTGGAGACAGGCGTCGTTTGGGCGCAGAGTCGCTTGCGATGTATAGGGTGAAGAGCTGGTGGTAAGTGTTATTTGTAGATGGCTGGGGGTATAGGCATGGCATTTTTTATTCATGGCAGTTTGACCTGTTCATTCAGTGATCTTGGAGCTTTGGAGTTGTCAGTGTCGTGTGTGTCCTTCGTCTGGCTGGGGGGTTGGTTTAGGAGATCATGTATGTAATTGGCGATTTATTTCCTGGTTTTGCATGCTTGTTCTAGTAAGACAATGTTGATTGCGAGCCTGTTGGTCGTGGAGTGTTTCTGAGGAAACGAAGTCAGTACAGTGGGTGTTGGTGATGAATCTGAGTGCTCTATTTCGTATTCTTTGTACAGTAGTTGGAAGATTGCTGTTCGTGACAGAGTGTGCAGTGGTATGGGCGGGTAGGTAAGTAAGGATCGTACAATTGCCATATATAATCTGTATTTTAGGTTGTAGGAAGGGATGGCGAACCAGTTAAGTTTCTGGAGGTTTCTTCGGGCGACTTGCTGTCTATTTGTGACTTGTGTTCTGTATTCGTGAGTAGTTAGTTGGAGCCCTGAAAACATTTTTTTTTTGCGCAGGGAAAGTGATTGTTATCGATGAAAATGTCGGTTGTATTTTTCATGCTGATTGGAATTATCTTGAATTTATACGTGTTTGTTTTAATCTTCTATTTCGGCCCGAATGAATGTGTTTATCTGTTTGTTCCGTTAGTTGTGGTGCGTAAGGGTACGCACACAGTGAAAGCAGGATTGCCTGCGCGAGAAACCTGCTCCAACCTGCCACAAGAATGAACATAGGATAATAATGTAAGTGTTCACAGTGAAAACCTGTACGAATAGGCTTTTGTATTCTATGGTTTCAGGCGCCAGCCTGAGCAGGTAACCAACACGCTGGCAACCTGCTTTCACTGTGTGCGTACCCTAACGGTGTGTGTGCCTGCCTGCTGTGATCTGTGTGATGTCGTCGGCAAATGCAATGTAGTCGGTGTTTGGTAGAGGTAGATGTCGTGGATGTAGGAGCTATAGAGTGGGTGAGTAGCAGGCTACTTGAGGAACTCCGGTGTGTAGTGGGAATGAGAGGCCTGGATAAGTGCCTATTCTAATTAAAGCTGTTCTATCTGTAATGAAGTCAATAAGTGTTCGTGTAAATGGTTGGCTAATCTCTGTCGAACTCTTTTGTATCATCACGGAGTACGATGTGTATTTTGTGTTTTTGAGCTAGGCTGACGGAAAGTATTTCGCAGAGTGTGTGTTCCTTATTTTTTAAATCCGTTTTATCTGGAGCTGAGTAAGTTGCTTGTTTTGAGATGGTTACAAAATCTGTTATTGAGTATTTTGTCCAGTAACTTTCCGTGTATGTTTTCCGGTGTCAATCTGGCGTCTCATTGTAATCAATAATTGTATGTGATTGAGACGTACGATTCACTTGACCTGATAGAGATTAATGACGAGTCAACATCTGGAAGACATGTTATAGATCACGCGATCAAGACCTTAGTAGTGGGCGGAAGCGATGCCTATAAAAAAAGGGCTAGAACCTCAAGGTAAGGCCCCCGCAGTAGTCGATAAGTGCTCCTCGATGTAGCGTGTCGGTTGAGTCTCCGACCTTACGGTCGACGCCGTAGCTTATTTTGAGATGGTTACAAAATCTGTTATTGAGTATTTTGTCCAGTAACTTTCCGTGTATGTTTTCCGGTGTCAATCTGGCGTCTCATTGTAATCAATAGTAATATGTGATTGAGACGTACGATTCACTTGACCTGATAGAGATTAATGACGAGTCAACATCTGGAAGACATGTTATAGATCACGTGATCAAGACGTTAGTAGTGGGCGGAAGCCAGAAGCCTATATAAGGTCTAGCAACCTCAAGGTAAGGCCCCCGCAGTAGTCGATAAGTGCTCCTCGATGTAGCGTGTCGGTTGAGTCTCCGACCTTACGGTCGACGCCGTAGCTTATAACTCTGTATCGTACTAATGTATTACCACCCCGTATACAAGATACGTTATTTAGACAGTAGACAGATGTGTCTTACTTATCCCTCACTACCTTAGTCACGTAACCCGATCCTTAGGTAGAGCTTAATATAATGAGCTCCAGTCATGAGTGCATCCTCTGACAATGTCCAGGAGGGAGATGGGTCTATATTTGTTGACTTGGTATTGAGATGTATTAGGTTTCGGGATGAAAAATATTATGGCATATATGGGTGAATCTGGAATGTATCCACCGGAGATTGACCGATTGAATATGTAAAGTATGAATTGCTGCATGTTACGAAGGAGATGTTTTAGTTCTAATGAAATAATTCCCGAAGTTTCGCCATAAGTAAATCAGCCTGAAAAATCATAATTGTTTACTTCAAAACAATAACAAATTTAATGCAGGGAACCACTGTTTCTTCGGGCTACCTGCTGATATTATGCGTGGATTTTTTACATAATAATGTCGAAAATCCTAGTTTTCAGAAGAATATACCAAGTGTTTTTATATGATAGCTAAATTTTATTTAGAATTTCTGTCTGATAAATATTGTAATTTATGTATTAGATTACAATTCCTAAACTGAACCTCGCGTTACAATGCATCGTGATGGCGTAGATTCCATTCTAATTGAAAGCCTTGGAATAATTCTCTGCGACTCGCGTTGCTCGATCAGAGCAGCTGATTATATTCGACCATGGTATCCATGATACTTCAGGCCTGCATGAATACTGCAATATAAGAGAGATTTGTGAGGCTCGTCCATGAATCTCGCAGCAGAACAAAAGCTCGGCGCACGAGTAAAACTGTAAAATCTTGAGAAGTTCGAAAGAAAATGTCGCAAAACAACGTAGTTTACATGACACAACGGAGTAATTTTCGAATAAATAAGACAATACACAGTCATCACGTGGTGCATTTTCATTCAATTGCTACCTAAGATGTAGAACGATGATGATCTAAATATATAAAACATTTCGTGGAAAAGAAAGAAAGCGGAGGAACTGACTTCAAAGAAACATCCACTACTGATGGTATTTTTGTTTGTGTTTGATTACCTGCAGTGAGGCCTGTAATATTTACATTACAAATCTTTAACTTACAGAAAAAATAAACGAAAATGAGGTGTACAAGTAAAATATCAGGAATTAGTTATTTTTTATAACGCACAATACTAAACATGCAGCTCGTTTTGATGCCCAGACTGCGCATTAATTTTGTATCGGGCACCCGGAAGTGAGCGCTTCGCGATAGCCGGCACTGCTCCATGCAGTGAATGAGGCCATGCAGTGAATGAGGCCATGCAGTGAATGAGGCCATGCAGTGAATGAGGCCATGCAGTGAATGAGGCCATGCAGTGAATGAGGCCATGCAGTGAATGAGCCATGCAGTGAATGAGGTCAGGCAGTGAATGAGGCCATGCAGTGAATACAGTCATACAGTAATACTTTGTTCGCTTACGGCATTGATCTGCTTACTCATGATATTGGTGTACTCACTCATACTGCTACTAATGTCCATCATTCTACCGATTTGGTTCTTTTCTGGCAATTAATAGGAATTTTACGACAATGAATAGGAATAGACTGAACAGAAAGCTTCAATAAATTCCCGTTCTGCGGTCATCATCCATCTTATAATGATAGCTCAGAGTATCATATTAGCGGGTTTACGGATTTAAGGTTAAGGTTAGAGGTCTAAGTTAGGCTATAAGTAAGATTTTCGTGACATAGCCAAGTTTTCCTCACGACAAGCCAAATTTTACGACCTGGAGTCAAGTTTTCACTTTCCTCAACATTCATTCAGGCCTTAAATGTTGGAAATGTAGGAGGCCGCTCATCCAAACGAAGGATTGGCATAGTCCAGAGTGCCACTAAAGTTCTGTCTACGAACTAAGTTGAAGTAAGTACCACTTGGAATTTTGAGATTTATGAACAATAGAGCCAGAATGAAAAGGAATAATTTCCTGGTAGTAATTTAGTTAGGCGTTATTAATGAGCATGAATTATTATTATGTCCGACCTTCGGACGTACATTACTCACCTGGTCCAACCTAGAAACATTACTCAGCTGGCGCTCGCAAATGTTGTTATTTAAGTTAAGAAATGGCTGAGCCTGCAACACATAAATTCAACACATGCTTCCATCGGATGTCAGAGGCTGTGTTTAGTACTGATGAAATAGACGATAGATAATACGGATAGCTGTTTATACTATTGCCTTGCAGGTTAAAAAATTCACAATAAATTCAGAACTAGAACTAGAATAAATTAATAACGATGATAATTCATGAGCGGGACTGTGATTAAATGAATTGACCTGCAAATATTTAAAAGCTTTAAAAGGAGTTACCTGGCAACGCATGGTGGCACGCAGTTTCTTTTTTCGCTGTGTGCTTATTCACGGCATGAGTAGTTAGTTATTTATCTTTAACTGTCGATCAGTGATGAAAATGCCGGAAGCAAAAGAAGAGTAAATGTTTTCAAGGCTTTAATTAAGTTCCAGATATAAAAGAGTGAAGGAAATAAATTGAGCCAATTAAAGTCCGTTAAAAAATAAAGAACTCAACCCGAAAATCCTGTGCACCTAAAATTAGAGACGAGAACATTAACAATTAAAAAATGGGAGTAAAAGAACATTTACAATTCTTTTTTTGGTTTAACAAT